TTGATTAATTTTTGTCATTGAAATGCAAATCAAAACGACCCTGAGATTTCACCTTACACCCATCAGAATGGCCAAGATGAAAAACTCAAGTGATAGCACATGCTGGAGAGGTTGTGGAGAAAAGGGAACCCTCCTCCATTGCTGGTGGGAATGTAAACTGGTTCAACCACTTTGGAAGTCAATCTGGCGCTTTCTCAGACAACTAGGAGTAGTGCTACCTCAAGACCCAGCTATACCACTCCTAGGTATATACCCAAAATTTGCTCAAGTACACAACAAGGACATTTGTTCAACCATATTTGTTGCAGCTTTATTTGTAATAGCCAGAACTTGGAAACAACCCAGATGTCCATCAACGGAGGAATGGATACAGAAGTTGTGGCATTTTTACACAATGGAATACTACTCAGCAATCAAAAAGGAGGAAATCATGAAATTTGCAGGCAAATGGTGGGATCTAGAAAAGATCATTCTGAGTGAAGTATCCCAGAAGGAGAAAGACAAACTTGGTATATACTCGCTTATATAGACCTACAAGATATGATAAACATAATGAAATCTACACACCTAAAGAAGATAATCAAGAAAGTGGACACAGGCGAAGGTGATTAATCCTCATTTAGAAAGACAAATGGGATGTGCATTGAACTTATGACAGGAGTCTATCACAAAAGGCATCTGAAAGACTCTACCTAGCAGTGTTTCAAAGCAGACACTAAGACTCATAACCAAACCCTCGGCAGAGTGCAGGGAATCATATGAAAGAAGGGAAGTTAGTATGATATGGAAAGGATAGGAGCTCTACAAGGACCAAATATATCCGGGCACAGGGTCTTTTCTGAGACTGACACTCAACCAAGGACCATCTATGGATATAACCTAGAACTTCTGCTCGGATGTGGCCCGTGGTAGCTCAGTAACCAAGTAGTTTTCCAAAGTAAGGGGAACACGGACTATTTCTAACAGGATCTCAAGGGCAGGCTGTTTGACCCCCCCCCCCCCAGGGGAGGAGCAGTCTGTTAGGCCACAGAGGAGGACTTTGCAGCCAGCCCTGAAGATACCTGATAAAACAGGGTCAAATGAAAGGGGTGTGGGGTTGGGGAGGGAATGAGGGAGCGGGATACAGCTGGGACACAGAGTTAACAAAATGTAACTAAAAAGAAAAATAAAATTAAAAAATAAAAAATAAAAAATAAAAAAAATACATATACTACAAAAAAAAAAAGAAGCAATGTAAAGACAGGATGTTCATAGTATTGAATAAGCTCTATCAGGGCCAAAGGAGGGGCAAATGGCACCTGTCACAAGCATGGCAGCAGCAATGTGAGGTGGCTGCATTCATCCATCGGCAGCCAGGAAACAAAGATAAAACAGGACACAGAAGCACTGGGAAGGAATTAGGCAGGCTTCAATCTCTAAATGTTTGCCTCTTGTTCATTTCCATCTATTAAATATTCCCAAACTTTCTCAAGGCACTAATACCAGTTAGGGACCAACTGTAGAACCATAACTTTGTGGAAGACATTTTGCATTCAAACCATAGCGTCAGTAATATGGTTATTTGAGTTTTCTCTTAAATTAAGTAACCGCAGTTGTGCAGAATGTGCTGTGCAATATTTACTTTTTTTATTTTTGAGGTTTTTTTTTTTTAGGTTACAAAATTTGAAGAACGATTATTAATTTTAAGATTATAAAAGATTATATTATTTCATGCGCAGCTCACATAGGTATCAATAATTTGTCATTAATTCTATTCCATATTCACTGTAATTTACCATAAGAAAAACGAATGCTCATTAGGTGATTGTGGTGACACATCCTTGTAATCCTAGCACATAGGAAGTCAGGGAAGGAATATGAAAAGTTCAGTATTATCCTTTGCTACCTAAATAATTCAAAATCAGTCTGAGCAACTAGCACGAGTCCATGTCACAAAACAAATAAAAATAAACCCAAAAGTGAATATGAGTACATTGAGCTTTATGGAATCAAAGAATAAGAAATTCTGATAAGTGTTATTGGATTCATTTAACATTAATATAAAATTAGTCTTCAAAATTCAGGATGTTTAGAAAAATAGAAAATTGTAGAGGTTATTATGTTCACAATAAATGCCAGATATTAATGAAAGCAGGTAAAGGTCCTCTACCACCGAAAACATTAAATAACTTAATAATAAGAACACTTTCTTATATCTCCATTGAATCAATTGAGAAATAAAAGCCATTAGAGAAGAAGTGAGTGACCGACTTATAAAGTAACGAAACACACACGTTATTAAAATTTTATTTTTTCCTAGCCAGATACAATAGGGAAATATGAAAACTAAAGAGCCTACATTAGTACTCTCAAACAAGTATTCTCTCAGAAAATCCTTGACAGGGTATTTCCTTGACAGGGAAGTTGAGGCATGAAGCTAAGTGTTGCTCTCTACCAGTTTTAAATGCTTTGATGGGGAACTCTGGGGTTTGCTGTTTAGGGCTATAAAAAATCAAATGATAAACCATGTTTTAGGATGAAGTCACGATAATAATCAATTAAATTACTTTAGGCACTCTTTGTTATCCACATAGTAAGAATAATTTTGAGAAATGTTCTAGAATTATGAGATTTATTTTTTTAATATCCTAATTTTTTTAAATTTTTTATTTAACTTTTATTAATTACACTTTATTCATTTTGTATCCCCCCATAAGCCCCTCCTTCCTCCCCTCCCGATCCCACCCTCCCTCCCCTTTCTGCATGCATGCCACTCCCCAAGTCCACTAATAGGGGAGGTCCTCCTCTCCTTTCTGATCTTAGTCTATCAGTTCTCATCAAAAGTGGCTGCATTGTCCTCTACTGTGGCCTGGTAAGGCTGCTCCCTCCTCAGGGGGAGGTGATCAAAGAGCAGGTCAATCAGATTATGTCAGAGGCAGTCCCTCTTCCCATTATTATGGAAACCACTTGGACACTGACCTGCCATGGGCTACACCTGTGCAGGGGTTCTAGATTTCATTTTCTTGGTAATTTAATATGTGAAGTTGGTTCTATTTTGCATGTTTACATTACATAGATCATAAAGATTGCTTTCTGTCAAATAAGCTGTACAGAATTCTTACCAGATATTTCTCTGGTTTTATTGTTATCTTGGCAACTGGTTCTTTTTATTTTTGTAACCATAAAAATAAAAAAAATAAGCTGTAAAATGTCTTATATGTCACCAGTGAAATTTTTTATCTAAATAAATAAATAACATTACAGGAAGTTAGAGTCTTTGGAACACATAGCACGAAATGAGGTGTCTTCATCAAATCCCTTCCTTCGGAGCTCAGGGAACCCTGAAAAAGAGGAGACAGAAAGAACATAAGACCCAGAATAGACAGAGGACAACAGGAGAACAAGACCCTCTGAATCAACTAAGCAAGCTCATGTGAATTCACAAAGACTAAAGCAGAACCTTCATTGAGACTCCTCTTGAATACCCTGGTGTCTCCCTGGAAATCCTGTAGTTTTGGATCTGTAGGGCCGGCCCTTTTATGTACTCCGACAGTTCATTAGTGGTGTAGCTGTTGATCAATGTGGGACAATTCAAAACCCTGAATCTGGGCTGAGAGGTCTCTGAGCTGGTCAGTCCACTGGCTCTCTTGCTCCTATGCACTGAGGGACAGCTCGCCAGCAGCCTCCACAATTAGGCCCACCTCTCCCCTGCTGCCCTGGTGAGGTACAGGGCCTGCTCTACAAGGGAGTGTTGCAGCCAGTGCCTAACAAGGCCCGTTCTCCCCCTTTCATGACTCTGGTGCCAGCTCTCCTGCCTGCTGCTGGTGACAGGGAGTAAATGGATGTGAAAGGCTCTCTCTCACACACACTGGTGGCACTGCTGCATAGCAGACAAGAGGCAGCGCTGGCTCACCCACAAACACACCCTAGGGGCCAGCTTGCCTGCAATCCCCACATCATCACCTCAATTGTGCTGCCAAGGTGAGTTTGTTACAGGGCCTGCTCTCCGGAGTGCTGCAGGTTTGAGGAAAGACCAGCTCTCCTGCTCTGATGACCTTGGTGGCAGCTTTCCTGCTTGCTTTAGGTGGCAAGGAGATGCATCCCTCTCCCTTGCCCATCTCACCTCAGAGCAGACAAGTGGCAGGGCTAGCTCTCACACACCCACGCCCCCGAGGCAGGCTCAGGCGTGCCCCTGCTATCATGGATCAGCTGTAGTGTGCTGTTCAGGCAAAATGCAAGCCCCCCTCTACCAAGCGCTGCAGCTGGTGAAAGGCAGGGACAACTCTCCTACTCTCATGACCCTAAGGGCCAGGACTCCCACCTGTCAAAGGTGTGAGGGGTGAGGTGAAAGGAGGGTATCTCCGCCATATTCACATCCTCTCGCAGGAGATGTTTAGCTGGTCCATGCATATCCTCAGGACTGGCCCACTTGCAACTCCAGCCATGTGCCGAGCCTGCTCTCCTGAGGACAGCAGCTGGCTGGGGCGAGGTCAGTCTTCCTGCACTCAGGCCTCCAGAGCCATTGTCCAGGTGAGTGGTGGGCCCAGTTCTGCACAGTCCTCAGATATGTGTCCCCCCAAGGAACAGCAGCTCAGACCAGGAACATCAACAAAGCCCTGCTTCTGCAGAGCCAAAACCTTGATCTCAGAATAGGCTAGGACCCAACTGTCCTCCCAGGGAGCATCACTGGCCACTCACATCAGGCTGATCCTCACTACCATCGAGTCTGCAGGTCTGACTCTCTCCATTGTGTGTGGGCACAACTAAAGGATGTACCCACACCTTTCTGTTTCCGTGTCTTCACTTGCTCTTCACAGTGATGCCCGGGGTCTCTGACTGTCTGGAGTCTTCTAATGAGTAGTCTCAACAGTGCTGTGCTCCTCGTGTGTCATAGCATCAGGCAGGGGGCCCCTGGGCATGGCTTGCCACCTCAGGCCTGGACAGTGCCTAGACAGTGGTCATTTCAGCACTAGCTCCCTGACACTGGTCTGGTGGTCATCTCCGCCTTGATTTTTTCAGGGAACGTTAGGCTACTAACCATTCAGATGTCCACAGGTCAGAACACAGAGCATAGACATGGCCTCTCTCCTCTCTGCCGCACCTGGCACACATGTAACACAGCAGCCACACCTGTCCTGCCTCCAGGAGCAGGAAATCCTGGTACTTTCAAGTTTAAAAAAAAAAAAAAGTATGAAAACTTCTACTGTACTTAATATGAAAAATTAAATCTTAAGGAATTGCTTAATGTTTTTCTAAAATGTGTTCCAAATCAAACTTTATTTTCAAGTCCTACTCAAATATATATTAAACAAAATTACAAATAATATACTTTAACTGTATTGTAGCTTTAAAAGGCCAACAATCAATTTACAGCATAATCACATTTTATTTATCTTATTTTGCCCACAGTTTTACTATGCCAATTACTAAAGTATTTTATCCTGATTTCAAATTTCTTTGTAAAGTAATAATACACATAATTTATTACAGAAGAATAATTCAGTAGACACATTGATTGACTTTTAAATAACCACAGGCTGATCATGTCCTTGATAACTTGTCAGTTTAGCCTAGAGCTGGTGAAAATTTTCTGTTACTTGATAAATAACCTCATGGAGCTCTTTGGAAAACAAACATTAATCAAATGACTCACATGACCAAATCTTACTTTCTTGGTTTTTACTTCATGATTATTTCCACATTTATTTTTCTTTCCAGTGTACTGAGCCAGATTTTTTTTTTTCTGAGAAGAACATCTTAAAGATTGTGGTTTCTGAAGGAGGACCTCATGAAATAGAAATCCAAAAATCCTGTTACAATAATTTCTTAAGTCTCCCTAACTTCTAAGTAATGTTTTCTGTGATGTTACCCTGTAGAATATGAAATAATTAGTAACGGAGGTATCCATTTCTTGTTTCAAATGCAAATCTTATCAGTAAACCCTTAGAAAGCTAGATTTCACACCAACATTTCCAAAAGCCTTCTATTTCAGATGTAGATCATTCTTTTTTTAAGAATGTATTTTACCCAGTCTTTAAAAAATTTATACTTCTATACAATGTATCTATTTCAAGGAATCTCCAAGACCCCCTTTCATCTTTTCACCTTTAACAGGTTTTGCCTGCTGGGACGATGAGTGAACATGTTGACTTGACTTTGTGCAGGTAACCACAGCAACAGTGAGTTCACGAGTGTGAAAGGCCATGACAAGCTCAGAACACAGCTCTTCACAGCACTCTCCCTTTCCATCCTCTGGTTCTTAGAGTATTTCTGAATTCCCCTTAGATATTGGATGGGTTGGTACAGGAACGATTCCTAAAATACTGAATGATAAAAATGAGGTTCTCTATGAATGGATAAAAGCAGTTTGTGAATTGAAAGTGTTACGTAAATAAAAAGCAATTTAAAACTTAAAACACAATGGGCATTATCATTAGTAAATTACCAAGTTGGAAGTGTTATATACTTTCACTTGTCAGCATAGATTGTAGTACATGTTAATTCTTATAAAGTTAAAATTTTGAATATGAGTCCTCAATATGAATTAATTCATCTCAAGAAATTTTTGCACACAGAATATATTAATTTTTTAAGAATTAAGAAAGGGAAATGGTAAATTAGAAGCCAGAAGAAGGAAAGTGGAAAACAGGTAGCATAACAGGAGATACAAGTAAAGAAAAGTGGAGAGCTCTATTCCAAACATGGCACCTGCACACAATTCTGGAGTTGAATATTGAAATGAGTGTTTTGTTATATAGCCTCATTTTGATTTTAAAAGTGGATTATTGATTTTAATACCAATTTAATGAATCCTTCCATTTTCTTTTATACGTATTAGGTATTAGTGTACTTAATTATTTATTTATCATCTTTTTTTTTTTTTTTCAAGACAGGGTTTTTCTGTGTAGCATTGAATGTCATGGACTTGCTTTGTAGACCAGGCTGACCTTGAACTCATAGCAGACCACTTTCCTCTGCCTCCTTGAGTTCTGGAATTAAAAGTGTATGCCACCACGTCCAGCTTAGTGCACTTATTTTGACACTTCTAGAGTTCCCCCAAATGGCCAGCTTTAACAGAAGTTTTGTTAATAGCATGTTCCTGAACTAACTCCAGTTCATCTAGGGAGTCAGTGGTTTTGAATAAAGAGCTAGTAGCTGTAATTAGACACACCCATGAAAAGAGGATTTTTTAATTAAAGTTTTATTTTTTAATATTAGTTACGGTTTATTAACTTTGTATCCCAGCTGTAGCCCCTTCCTTCATTCCCTCCAATCTTACCCTCCCTCCCTCATCTCCTCCCTGCCCCTTTCCAAGTTCTGACTCTAGCTTATCAGGTTTCTTCAGGACTGGCTGCAATATCCTTCTCTGTGGCCTAGAAAAACTCTTCCTCCCTCAGGGTGGGGGAGGTCAAAAAGCCAGCCATTGAGTTCATGTCACTAACTTTTACATTCATTCTTATGGTAATAATGCCTTAAGCATGTGAAAGGTTTAATAAAATCTGAATCAAGCGAACAAGGAAACACTCTGTTAAGACACCAAAAGACTAATTTGTACTAATCCAGGGGAAGCTAAAGGAAAACATAAAAATAATAATGTAAAGATAAAACATGTCAAATGATGTGCCTACATTGTTTGTTTCCCTGAGTGTAAGCAGGAGACCTAAAAAATAATCTTTTTATGTACTCTCCTTGAGTTTTAATTTACCTCCCACAAACAGGAGCTAGACAGCTGCCACATCTCAAGATGAATGCTGAAATCTAATCCCCACCATGAAGAATGTATTAGATCAGGAATTTCTACGGAGAAGTGGTGTTTTGAGGAGGTGGCAAAGATGAGGTCATTAGGTAGAACACCATGTTGAATCCTAGTGGCTTTGCTTGAAAAGTGAGCGAAGCCTGCACAGCATACATGCACACAAGCACCCATCCTCCCCTTTCTTGCCACCATATGGCACATACTACCTTGTGACTCTGCCAACAAGAAGGCCATCACCAATGAAGCTGTACCAACTCACACCAAACTGTGAGCCCAAGAGAAACTTTTTTCTTGTTATTGTGCTCAGTCTGTGGTACTGGTATTACAATACACACACACACACACACATACACACACACACACACACACATACAGAAAGAGAGAGAGAGAGAAGAGAGACAGAGTCAGAGAGAGACAGAGACAGATGAGACAGAGACAGAGAAGCTGTAGGTGTGATGGTGGCTGCCCACAATTCTTCTGAGGTGATCCTTATTCTCATTTATTCACAGCATTTCCTTCTCTAACACTTTTCACATTCTTCCGGACCCCAGGACACTACTGTGGTCCTACATCCAAATCTACTGTTCTAGAGAACCATTTAATGCATGCAGGAATATTAAGGTAATTTTTTTTCTTTCAGTGAATTATTTCAATGAACTATTGCTGTACAAAATATTGTAGAGATAGATGAAAAGACAAAGTTGCATTTATTTGTATGACTGAGCGCAATACTACATTTCATTTACTAACTATGCAAATAAATGCCGTAGCTTTCCATACAAAGTGTTTAAAGCTGAAAAACCATTGTGTTAATCTTTACTAGCTGAAAATGTCTTAGCATTTTTATATGGTGATGATTTTCACTTAGTTTACAAAACAGCATTTCTCTAAATTGCTTAGCGTATGTCTTATACTTTTAAGAACATAAGAGAAACATATGTATTTTCATTTTCCTTTAGGGATTTCCATGATTTGTAGAACCCTAATATCACTTTATAAAACAAACATGATTACAGAACATTACAAAGATATCTTTAGTATATAATTACTGCTCAGAAAAGCCCACAATTTAGGTTTAGAACAAAGTTCAGCATAAGTAAAAACAAGATTGAAAATATGTCTCAACTAATTTAATATACAGAATAGATATATAAAATTTATTGTGTTAAGAAATTGAGTCCAGGACTGGAAATATGGTTGAGCAATTAATAGTACACACTACTGCATAGGACCTGAATCTCATTCCAAGCACACATATTAAGTGATTCATCACTGTTTGTAATTTCAATTTTGAGGTATCTAAGACCTGTTAGGAACACCTGAATGTGGCGCGTGCGCGCGCACACACACACACACACACACCATACAATATATTATATATACATATATAATTGAAAATAATAAAATGACTCTTTAAAATAAGAAATTTAACTTATATATTTCATAAAATGCCAGTAATATTAGAGGTAATTTATATTATTAGTAATTTGGCACTTACTGAAATAATATTTTAAATTATATATAAACATGTAAAAACATATCAATGCAAGATTCATAGGATTTTCATAGTAAAGATTAATTAGAAAATATTTCAGAAACCACTTATTTGTGTTTTGAAGCCCTTGTTTGTAATGTCACCAATAATGGCTTTATTTTTATTGTTTTATAGGAAAAATAATTTCATTTATCAAGAAGAAATGTGTATTTTACGTATATTCAGTATCAAACATAATATTTCATATAAAATTATTTTAAACAGATTGTGTGGCTCATATGCAAAGTATCATGAATGTGAATTTGTTTTTTCTTTTTTTTAATTTTTTTTATTACTATTAGTTACATTTAATAACTCTGTATCCCAGGTGTATACCGCTCCCTCATTCCCTCCCAATCCCACCCTCATCTCCTCCCAGCTCCTTTCCAAGTCCACGGATTGGGGAGGACCTCCTCCCCTTTCATTTGACCCTGTTTTATCAGGTATCTGCAGAACTGGCTGCAAAGTCCTCCTCTGTGGCCTAGCAGAACTGCTCCTCCCTTGCGGGGTGGGGAGGTCAAAGAGCCTGCCATTGAGTTCCTGTCAGAAATAGTCCCTGTTCCCCTTACTATGGGAAACAATTGGTTACTGAGCTACCACGAGCTTCATCTGAGCAAAGGTTCTAGGTTATATCCATACATGGTCCTTGGTTGGAGAAACGGTTTCAGAAAAAAAACCTGTGCCCAGATATATTTGGTCCTTGTGGAGCTCCTATCCTTTCTATGTTATACTAACTCCCCTTTTGCCGAAGGTTTGGTTATGAGTCTTAGTATCTGTTTTGAAACGCTGCTGGGTAGGGTCTTTCAGATACCTTCTGCGATAGACTCCTGTCATACGTCCAATGCACATCCCATTTGTCTAA